AGAAAGAGAGAGAGAGAGAAGCTGCAGCTGTCAGAGATGGACGGCTGGGCACATGAGATAAGACAAAGACATTCCCCCTCTCTGGGGAAGCCCAAGACATCCAAGCTGCCCTGCGGCCATCTGGATCTTACTATATTATATTCATAATCCTTAGGCAGAGTCCTCCACCTCTTTTCTTTTCCTTTCCTTTCTTTTTATTTATTTATTTATTTTGGTTTTTGTTTTGTTTTGTTTTTGAAGACAGGGTTTCTCAGTGTAGCTCTGGCTATCCTGGAACTCACGCTGTAGTCTAGGCTAGCTTAGAAATCAGAGATTCACTTGCCTCTGTCTCCAGAGTGCTGAGATTAGAGGTGTGAGCCACCACTGCCCCAGGTGGAAATTGTTAAGTTAGAAGAAAATGTAGCTTGGGTAACTACTTGGTTAGTTTCTTAACTGTGATTTTCCAGAGCTTTTACTATGCTCAAGTCAGATGTGCAGCTTCAAGAGAATAAACTCTGAGGGCTAAAGAATCCTTTTTCCATCAAGCAACTTGTAGGACTAGTGTACCAGAAAGCGTATTTTGGATGTTGCTCTTCTTAGCAAGCTGAGGATGGGTAGCTTCTCACTGACTGCATGGAGTCACGCTTTCAGGTTACTGTGTCTGAAGCCCTATGTTCATGTGTGAACAATCCTGTTTGCCTGGTGGCTGCAAGGCTCTAAGCCCTAGGGGCCAGCGCCCGCCTTGTTTCTTGAGTGCTCTGAGCGCCCCCTGCTGGTTTATAGTGGTAGAAGCACCCTGAAGCTCAGGCTTCCTTGGAAGGCCGTGAAACCCTAAGAGCAATGCTAAGAAACAGTTATTCTCCACCACTCCCTCTGTGGGCAATAAGAATATCCTTATCCAGACTGGAAATGGGAAATTCTACCTGTCTGGGCCATTGATAAGATATCACTGGCTTAGACTCTCTATTAAAGACCCTCCTTTAAATTTTTTAAAATCTATTTTTGGTTTAATGAGACAGTGTTTCTTTGTGTAGCACTGGCTGTCCTGAACTAGCTCTGTAGACCAGGCTGACCTTGAATTCACAGAGATTGGCCTGCCTCTGCCTCCCAGGTGCTGGGACTAAAGGTGTGTGCTACCACCACCTGGTAAAAGGTCCCCCTTAAAAAGAATTATTTCTTGGGACTGGGTGGATGGCTAAGTGGGTAAGAGTGTTCACTTCTCCAGCATGAGAGCCTGAGTTGGGATTTCCAGCATGCACATAAAAAAGCCAGGCATGGCTGCACATGCCTGTAACCCAATGGCAGAGACAGGTGGATCCTGCTTGAGAGCTTTGTTGCACAGTGAACCTAGCTGAAATGGTGAGCTTCTGGCTCAATGAGATCTTCAAGCCCCACAGAAGACAGCCCACAACTCGCCAAGAGTTTCAGCCACCTACATATGCCTGGTGGGAAGAGGATGAGCTTTAGGTTTGGGGGACTACCCCAAGACAGCGCTAGCCCAGTCCTGGCTCCACGGGCCAAGGACAGTAGGTGTTCTTTGCAATGATCTGAGGCTCCCAGGAAGCATTCTGCCACCTTCTCCAATTATTTCCTCTCCTTGCTGCCTAGAGTATGCACTGTTGCTCTCTCTGGGCCATGGAAGCCACACAAAGCAGGGTCCTTTAAAAGGCAGAAGTGTGCACAGCTCCATGCGTCCCCAGCAGCCAGACAGGGTAATAATAATGATGGCGGTGTTTGAGGGCTTGCTCCGTGGCAGGTGGGTCACACAAACACGGCCACCATCACACCACGCCACACTCTAAAAGCTCTGAGATCAGTTCAAGTATTGTTGGTGGCACAACTTCCTGGAGGCTATTTATAAACTTTCTCCCGTTCAGCCCCTGCTGCCACATTAGCCTCCTGTTTATTTCATGTGCACTGGTGTTTCTGCTTGCATGTATGTCTGTATGAGGATGTTAGTCCCCTGCAAGTGGAGTTATGGACAGTTGTGAGCTGCCATGTGGGTGCTAGGAACTGAACCCGGGTCCTTTGGAAGAGCAATCAGTGCTCTTAACCACTGAACCGTCTCCCCAGCCCCTCACTAACCCTTTATAAAAGACCTGAAATTCTGAATTCAGAACTCCATTTGGCCCAGTGTCTCAGATAAGGGCTATGGCTGAGGATCAGGTATCCAAAGAGGCAGGAGCAAGCAGCAAATTAACTTGTCCAAGGTCACAAAACAGGCAAGTGAGGATGCAAGATTCACATCCAGGATCTAAGGGCCAAGCACAAGTTTTAACCACTGTACATTTTAGAAAGGAGCCCCAGAGAAGTTAGGTGACTTGTCCCAGATCACACAGCTAATAGGTTCCAAATTGGTACCCTAACTTAGGATTTGGGGTTCCTGAATCCATAATTATTTTCCCAGCTTTTATAAACTAGTAGGGCAGGGGATGGGGTCTTCCACACAGCAGACTAGCTGCCTGGCCATCTACATTCAGTGGATTCCGTTTCTTTTGGCTAACCCGATTTTTCTTACTGGGATTGCTGTCATACAGCTACAGTTAAATGGATGTGATACCCAAGGTTACTCATGGAATGCTCCTTAGCAGCCCGCTAACTGTCCCCGCTAACTCTGGACTTTCATGTGTGCTAGGGGGCAGCACCCCAGAACCCCTGCAAACCTGTCTGGGGGGGGGTGGCTTGAAGTATGATTTTCCATACGTATATCTGACTTAATGTGGACCACCCACTCACTTCTTTAACAAGCGTTTATTGAATATCTACTATTCCTGGCACTACTGGGATGGGTGTGTGCAACAGAGATAAGATCAAGTCCTTGCCCCAGGGAACTCACAGCCTCAGTGGGGGAGACAGCACTTGTAGTGAAAGTTCCAGTGAGTCTAAAGTCCTAATAGAGGTTTGGATAGGAGCCTGTGAGCCCTGGCTGAGCAAGGCCTAATTCTATAAGGGGAAGGTACCACAGGAGACTGAGCTGCACAATGGGACATTCTACCAGGTGCCAGGTGGGGCACAGATGTAGTCCAGGACACAGACTTCTCTAGAGCAAGTGCATGGTGGGATCTGATATTTTGCCTGGCTAGCCAGGAGACCACTGAGGCGACTCCTCTCTTATTTTATAGGAAACTGAGGTAGAAGGAAGGTTCTGCCTGAGGTTTCCAAGCGCTTTGTCTGTGGGAGAGCTGTCTTCTCCCACCCCGTTCTGAAAAAGCGCACAGGCTACAGGTCACTGTACTGCTACCACCTAAGCCATGAGATGTGACTTTCACACACCAAGATGCTTGAACACTGTGCAACTTAATGATGCAGATGGCTTCGGGCTTATCTGATCCATTTCCAGAAAAGAAAAATATAGCAAATTCCCCATTCAGTCAAGAAAAAGAAAACAAGACTAAAACAGAAACCACAAAGAACAGGCAATCATTTCTTAGATAATCTGGCAGAATTACCTGATAAACTGGTTTATTATTATTATTATTATTATTATTATTATTATTATTATTATTATTATTATTATTTGGAGACAGGGTCTCATGAATCCCCAGGCTGGGTGACCTTGAACTTCTGATCTTCCTGCCTCCATCTCCCAATTACTGGGATTACAAGCATGCATCTATAACTTCATGATTTTGTCATAATAACAAAATCGGTGTAGACCGGATCACTTGCCTCCCCCCCCTTTTTTTTTTTGGTTTTTCGAGACAGGGTTTCCCTGTGTTGTTTTGGTATCTGTCTTGGATCTCGCTCTGTAGCCCAGGCTGGCCCCGAACTCACAGAGATCCGCCCGACTCTGCCTCCTGAGTGCTGGGATTAAAGGTGTGCGCCACCACCGCTTGGCTCACTTGGCCCTTTATTGCCTCCCTGTCCAAAATGCTCTCTTAGAGGCACTGGCTTGGCTCTGCAGGTAGGTTCAGCACAGTCGTCTTGGTAGTTTTAGGGGAAGGGCTTTGGCTGCCCTGACCACTCTGCTTCCCATCACAAAGGCTGGCTGCTTTCCCTGGGTAGATGGAGAATCCCTGCTTCTCCCATTCTGTGTCGCTCTGTAGGGCTGCTGCTTGCCACACGTCTTGGAGAAGTCTGGGGAGTTTCGGAAGTGTCTCCCGTGTTTGTGTGAGTGCCATCAGCACAGAAAGTGAGCTGGTGTTTTAAGATGCTCTTTTCCTTGACACCAAAGCACATCCAGGAAGGCCTAAGCCCTGGTCACCTGAAGAAGGCCAAGCTCATGTTTTTCTTCACGCGGTACCCCAGTTCCAGCCTCCTGAAAGCTTATTTCCCTGATGTTCAGGTAAAGTCACACATTGTGTTTCAGCCTCTGTGTAACTTCCCAGGGTGAGAGGCAAGTTCTAGGACTTCACTGCCTTCACGTTATTGACGGAGCTGGTGCAATTTCCAGTTCTGAAACTGTCTGGGAAAAATCATGGATCTCTGTATCGTTTCCTACAAAAGGTGGGTTTCAGAACGCGTAGGCCTTTGAGCAGCAGATAATCCCAGCAGTGCATGGGAAGTGTGGGTAGGGGAGGGAAGCCAGAGCAGTCACCGGACTCTTTGGTCAGTAACTACTCTTTGGTGGGGCCTTATGAAAAAGAATAAATGGGGCTCAGGGGTTAAGAGCACTTGCTGATCCTGGAGTGGACCCGGATTTGGTTCCCCACACCCAAATGGCAGCTCACGATCACCTCTAATTCCAGTCCAGGGGATCCGATGCCTTCTGGCCTCTGCAGGCACTACATGCATGTGGTACACATACATACATGCAGACAAAACACTCATACACTAAATAATTTTTTTTTTTAAACTGGGGATTAAACTTCGGGCCTTGGGCATGGTAGGCAAGAGCTCTACCACTGGACTATAGCCAAAGCCCAGATCTTTTTCTTCCTTTCTTTCTTTTCTTTTTAAAAAGAATGTGTAAGCAGTAAAGAAATATGTAAAATGTAAGGGGCTCAGGATGCAGCTCGGTGGTGCAGCACATGGCTAGCATGTGTAAAGACATGGGTTTGACTCCCACTCAAAAAATATATATAAGATATCAAACGCCCATGCAGCCTGCTGAGTCTCGAAACTGAGCGGAAGTACACACAGATCGAGGTGCTGGTAAGGAAAATCAAACTGCAGGGTGGAACCAAAGCCTGCCTGTACGCACAGGCAATCTCTGAGATCCACTACTCTGGGCTGTGAGGTAAGGGCTCTTACGACTTTGGACACCCCTCAGAGACTGAGAGGCCTTTCAGTCACGCAAATCCCCATGGTAGACATGGATTCAGATCTCCATTCACTCTGCAGCTCCAGCTGCAGGAAGCTGCTCCCGGGTCCACCCTTCCCGTTCCCTTTGGCCCCTTACTCCTCCTGGCTCTGGGGGCCGACCCTAAGTCATGCTTAGACACATGGATAAAAGCCCAGAAGTCTAGTACATGAAATCTATTTTCTAGTGAGTGTAGGAGTTTTGAGTCTGACTGCACAGGGCCGGCCAGCACCCGTGGCTCATTTTTCTGGAGGGGAAGTTGTTGGTAGTTGAACATTCACATTGATCCCATGTTGAACTGGACACTGACAGTTCTGACAGAGAGCACCCTGTGGCAAATGTCTGACGTGACGAACCCCTTGTTCCTACAGTTCAACCGCTGCATCACCTCCCAGATGATCAAATGGTTCAGTAACTTCCGTGAGTTTTATTACATCCAAATGGAAAAGTACGCTCGGCAAGCAATTTCGGATGGTGTCACAAACCCCAAAATGCTGACAGTTCTCCGTGACTCAGAGATTTTTCGAGTTCTCAATACACACTATAACAAGGGAAATGACTTTGAGGTAAGACATCCACTTAGTCCCTTGAGATCTGAGATGTGTTTTCTCTGAATGGCTGGCTCTCTAAATACATCTACCGTGTCCTTAAGTCACTTAGAATTACAGCAGCCAGAGGGCAATCTCTGTATCACCAACAAAGATCACAGCCTCCTAATCCTCCTCCAGGCAACAGATGGATAAAGCAAATCTCGCCAACCTGATCAAATCTTGGCTGGCCAGGGCTTTGCCATGCTGGACTTACTACTTATCAAGTTCAGAGACTGTTGGCCTTTGTGCTCAGTACCAGCTGGTGTAGTGCCAAATACTGGGCTCCATCACCGCATCTACTTGTCGCCTAGGTTTTTGGACAACTTCCGCTCTTACTAACACATGGCTCTGGCGTTCTCTCGGTTCTGTATGGGTGGCAAGTTCAAATTCCTTCTGGATATCACAAGGCTGAAGAATTCCAAACTCTTGGGGCCTCTGTGAAGGTGCATGGTGGTGCCTTGGAGCCTCAGTGTCCAGCGGCCCGGGCAGGCTCTTGGGTGGCTGGCAGCTCTTTGGATTCCTCCTCGGGTGCCTGGTCACAGGCTGCACTTCTTTCTTCTTGCCTTTCTCACTGTGATCACGGGAGTTGATTGATTCTCTCACGAGTGTACAGTCTGGGGCTTCCACAGCCAGAACATGGTTGGAAACCGAAGCCTATCTATAGGGGAGGAAAGGGTTAGAGACAGCGTGAGCTGGCAGCACCTGTTCACCCTTCCACGGGGGTGGGGTGGGGTGGGGGGATGGCTATTTGGTAGGCAGTGGCAGCAGTTCCCCACCCAAGCTGCATCTGGAAGGCCTGTGGGACATCCTATCACCTATGGTGCCAATTTGGGTGAAGGTCCTGGACGAGCCCCTTCAAATGGCTTTGGAAACAGGGCTTGAAGCCCTTGGGATCTGAGCCCTGGAAGATGGCGGGATGCAGTACAGCAGTCATAAGCTTGAGGGCGCTCTTTCTCACAACAGGTCTAGGGAAAAGGATGCTACAACCTCTCATTTCCCTTCATTTCCTGCTTAGTTACTGAAACACGCCTAATTGGTGGGCCGAGTAACTCCTGTAAGTCTCTAACACTTGCTCCCAAGACTGTCTCCGTGGGTGGTCATCTAAGGCCTGTGTTTTACAAGGGAACAGGTCAGTACTGGGCTGCAGAACCTGGGGCAGCAGAGCAGAGATACTCTGAGCCAGCGGCAGGCATCACTGCCAGAGGGCTCGCCATGGTGCCAGTACTTCCAGCCTCATTTCTTCCTTTTCTTGGGGGTGTCTTTGGGGATGCAGGTCCCAGACTGCTTCTTGGAAATTGCCACCTTGACATTACAGGAGTTCTTCAGGGCTGTCTCCGCAGGGAAAGACTCAGATCCTTCCTGGAAGAAACCCATTTACAAAATTATTTCAAAACTGGACAGTGACATCCCAGAGATACTCAAATCTTCCAACTATCCCCAGGAACTGTTTCGAAGCTAAGATTTAAAAAAAAAAAAAATGAGGTCAAGTACAATGTCCTGTAATTCCAATACTTGGGAGGTGGAGGCAGGAGGATCAGAAATTGGACAGCCTTGGCTACGCAGACAGATGATCAAACAAAATGAGTAGACTGGCCCAGGATGGCCCAGGATGGCCCAAGACTTGTCATAAATGGCAGTCTGGCTGTAGCCTCATAAGAGAGCACAGGACAAACCCCTCCCATAGGGACAATTGCCATTTTGAATACTTGTTCCCTCGTCCAGAATCATCAGAGACTTAACCTTAACCACAGTGTAACAACTAAGCCTAGCAGTGTGGTGGTAGTATATTGGCAAAGAAACACAAGTTTGACAACAGAAGACTTAAAAGTCAATGTCACTGTCGTCAAGTGCTGCGACACTGATCATTTCTCTAAAAGGAGATTCAGAGCCGGGCGGTGGTGGCACACGCCTTTAATTTCAGCCCCCGTGAAGCAGAGGCAGGTGGATCTGTGAGTTCGAGGCCAGCCTGGTCTACAGCGGGAGTTCCAGGACAGCCAGGACTACACAGAGAAACCCTGTCTTGAAAAACCAAATACACAAAAATAAAACAAGAAACTCTGAACTGTGGCTAACTCATGGGTCCTCATGCCAGGGAACTGGATTGGTCAGGCGTGTGGAGGAACCAATGGCCATGTAAGCCGAACTTGCGACGGGCCACTCCCGCTGTCACTCAGGATCCCAAGGAAGGTCACACCAACAGGAAGCCCGCGGAGCGGACCTGCCAGCTGACAACTCTGGCACTCGGCAGGAGTGCTTCATCACCCAGGACTGTCCCCGACAGCTTCAGCAAAGCCAGCACAGACCTCCTAAAGGGCCTTGGCCTTGCTGGTGTTTGCATCTGTCTGCTGGGACAGCAGGTCAGCGGATGATCCTCACAGTCCTACTTGACCTACGTAACAGTGCCCCCGCTGCCTGTGCATAGAAAACAGCGGAACTTCAGGATGAGAAAGCCAGAAAGGACCCTCGGAGGACATCTGGTCCACCCTGTTTAACTTGTGGAGGAAACTGAGGCTAACACAGGCTACACAGGGCCTCACAGGCCACAAATGGCATGGTTTGGACAAATGCAGAGATGGAGATTTTCCTACTCCAAAATGATTACAGTCCATGAGAGAACTCCCACAGATGAAAAAACAAAATCCGTATTCTTTTTCCCCCCTACGGGTCTAACACAATTATGAGACTCTGAGTGCCTAGGCAAGGCACCTGTAAGGCGTCAGAATCAAGCCTACAAGGACTGCTGAAGGCGGGCAGGGTGGAGTATAGACACTTCAGGTTTCACAGTGCTGAGTGAGGGGCAACTGTGCCCACAGCAGCTCCCTTCCCTGCCGTCAGCACAGAACAAACTCCTCCTCTAGCTACTCTGCCTTCAGGACCTTATGGGTGTGGTGCTGGCGATTGCTAGACATGTATAAACAATGACTTTCCTCCGAATTTTCTGTTCAAATAGTGGAGAGAAGAAACAGAACGTACTTCATCAAAATTAGTCTTTAGAGACTACTTGAGGTTTGGGGGTGTTTGTTTTACTGAATATTGAACCTAGGGCCTCGTTCCTTCTTGGTAAGCATATGCTCTTATCACTGAGCTCCACTCCCAGCTAAGAATTTTGTGTATGTGGTCTTTTGAGACAGGGTCTATGTATCCTGGCTATCCTTGAACTCACAGATCTGCCTGCCTCTGCCTCCAGAGTGCCAGGATTAATGGTGTGCACCACCACAGCCGGCAAGTCTTATTTGAAATGCCCCCTAATATACCTAATTATATACAACCACTGCTCTAGTTTATTACTGCTTTCACGAGGTTCCCCTTGATCAAAATCAAGGAATTTGCCAAACCTAAGTTTTGAACAACCGAAAGCACTGAGTAGCCTGTGCAAGGGCATCAGCTGTTTGGAAACAGACTGCCCCTCTCTCTAGAGCTTACACAGCTTTTAAGACATTCATAGGAAACAAGTCCAATCCATATCACTGTCCCCTGTCCCAGACCTGAACTTCATTAGTCTGTTTTTAAAACTTGAGCGAAGCCATCTCCAGGGCAGTGAACTTTATCCTGAATACTAATTAGATGAAAAATGTGCTAGCTCAAATTGAAAACGTTTGTGTACTGCAGTCATGCCAGAAAACGTTCTCTAACCACTGAGCTCGACACAGAAGAATGTATAAATATGTATGCTCTGCCAGCCGAAGAGTTCTTATTCCAGTTTTCTGTTTCTATCAAGTGTGTTTAGGTCAGTGCTGGGAACTTGCTGTGAGTGTGAACTGAGCCAGTTATTATGTTTCTTCCGCAGTCATAACACTGCCAAGGGCCTGGTCATTTTTTCCATTAAGGTATATGTGGGTGCTGATCTCTCACCAACCAGACATACTCAGATCTGGTCAAGTACTGCACAATGCTATAATCCTTCAATGGCAGACAACAGGCATGGGCTGTGGGGCATGCTCAGCTACCTATCAAAAGCAGGCAGTTCTCTGGCATTCTACAGGATAGCAGATACATTAGGAACCTTCTTGTTTATGCCGAGGCAAGTCTGTATATGTAGCCCTGGTTGGCCCAGAACGAGGCATATAAAACAAGCTGGCCTTAAACATGTAAGAATTCTTCCGCCTCTCTGGGGCTGGGGCTATAGGCATGCACCACCCTGCCTGACATAAGAGCCTTCATTTCAAACATTTTCCATAAAAACTCCAGACCAGACTCAAACAGCAGGAAGCCAAAGGCACCTCTTGGGCATATAAGTGCTGAATTTATTTTTCATCAAAGGAAGGGCAAAACACAAATGGCAAAGATAAAACAATATTCTTTAATACATGTCTATGCCCTGGCTCTAATAGGGACATGCTTTTCACAGAAAGGGTCTTATCGTGTAGCCCTGGTTGGCCTGGAACTCACTATTTAGATTAGGGTCCCTCCCAAGTGCTGGGATTAAAGGTGTGCACCACCATGCCCAGTTTGGAGGTCCATTTTCTTCTTGGTTTTTTGAGACATGGTTTCTGTGTGTCACAGCTGTGACTGTCCTGGAACCCACTCCGTAGATCCGCCTGCCTCTGCCCCCTGAATGCTGGGATTAAAGGCGTGCGCCACCACTGCCCAGCCTGGAGGTCCATCTTCAAGTTTCAGGGATGAGGATATACTTCAGATGAAGAGTGCTCGTCTAGCACACACAAGGCCCTGGGTTCCAGCACTGCACGAACCTAGTGTGGTGGCGCACACATGGAGATCCCAGCACTGCACAAACCTAGTGTGGTGGCGCACACATGGAAATCCCAGCACTGCACAAACCTAGTGCGGTGGCGCACACATGGAAATCCCAG